CAGACACCAATTTGTTACGTCTCCGTTTGTTAATTAATTTTCCGTAACTTTGTTCCGACGAAACTTTAGTGACACAAGTTTCCTTGTTTCCTTTCTTAAATAAAAACTGGTTTATTCTTTCTGAATATAACTTTACCGATACACGCAACTTCAACAGTTGCACTATAACAAACTATAATTCACGTATCACGAGCTCTACTTCAACAATACGTCTCTCTCTGACTGCAGTTCAATTACTCATTACCTACACACACATTATTGTCCCGTCACGTTGTCACCCTCTTATATATATACCAGACTACCCTATATCTAGTAATCTCCCGACAATTCACGAAGGTACAAGATATTTCCAGAACGCAGGGGGCGTGACACTAGTCACGTGACCTCGCTGACGCAACATTATGTTATGGAACGTAATGACATTTTGTCCTGTTTATTGTTATGTTATGGAACGTAATGACGTGTTGTCCTGTTTGTTGTTATGTTATGGAACTTAATGACAAGGTTTCCTGTTTGTTGGTGTGTGATTATAACTTAATGACATGTTATCCTGGTAGTTAATATGGCATTAGAAGGTATTGTTACGTCTCTGGTCGTTTGATAATTTCCCGTAAAAATTATTTCCGAGAAACTTCAGCAATGCAAGTCCTTTCTTAAATAAAACTAGTTTATTCTTTCTCAATACAACTTTGCAATACACAGAATTTCCACAGTCCCTTTAACTTAAACACACGCTATAATTCACAACGATTCACGCACTTTACTTATGGTCACTACCGCTCACTTGACTAAATTATCTGTCTCTATATCTGTCTATCTGCAGTTATTTTACCGCTTTATTTGCCGGGCTTATATACTAAAATATAGGGCGTCTGGCAAACACTCGGGCCTTATGATCCTTCTAGAAACTCATGACGTGTTACCAGCGTGACGTGACTTCCGCTGTCGTAACAGTATTAAATAATTGTTAATCCTCAAACTAAGGCCACAACATAACTTGTTCGTCAGTTGATGTGTTGTTGAAAATGTCATTAAGATGTAATCTCATTCAAAGAACCACGAATACATGCTCTTACGTTCGAAACTCTGAAAAATACAAAGTAACTTGTCATTACATTCCAACGAACAGGCGAACCCGTCATTATGTTATATAAATAGACAGAAAATTATATTTTAAACAATAAGTCAATTTTTGAACTAGTTACACCCAGTTATGGCTGCATTTTGCGAATTAATAATGTGTTCTTGTTTGTTCGAATGGGATTGGAACGTAATGACAAATTGGAACATAATTATTTGCTGTCCTGTTTGCTGGGATTAGGTTAACACTTAATGTCACAATGTCTTGTTTGTTGGGCCGAGGTTAACACTTAATGACACGTGTTTTGTTTGTTGGGCTGAGGTTAACACTTAATGACATGGTGTCCTGTTCGTTGGAATGAGGCTAAAACTTAATGACATGGAGTCTTGTTTGTTAGGATGAAGTTAAACTTAATGACATGGAGTCTTGTTTGTTCGGATGAGGTTAACATTTAATGACATGGTGTTTTGTTTGTTGGAATGAGGTTAGCACCTAAAGACATGATGTCTTGTTCGTTGGTATGAGGTTAAAACTTAATGACACGTGTTTTGTTTGTTGGGATGAGTTTAACACCTAAAAACATGATATAATTTTTATTGGAATAAGGCTGGATCAGATGAACACGCCAAACAAGCTATAATGGTAAATTTTTGAAATGATTGAATGAATTACTTGTGCCCATCAATAGGTATCTAACTCAAAATAAGTATAACTGAGTTTATGTTGTACTTCAATTTATAGCACGAAAAAGGCCTTTACCAGAATTCAGGGTAAAAAGTTACATGTTTCAGCTTTTCAAGTCTCTGGATTATATTCACAGGTGAGAGAAATTCTCGGATTAACAAGCGCCATCTTTTGGCAATTCTTAATTAATACAGAAGTATATATTCAGTTCAATAAATGTAATTTTAGAGTTAACAAGCGCCATCTTTTGGCAATTCTTAATTAATACAGAAGTATATATTCAGTTCACTAAATGTAATTTTAGAGTTAAGAAGCGCCATCTTTTGGCAATTCTTAATTAATACAGAAGTATATATTCGGTTCAATAAATGTAATTTTAGAGTTAAGAAGCGCCATATTTGGCAATTCTTAATTAATACAGAAGTATATATTCGGTTCAATAAATGTAATTTTAGTCTATTAGTTCGCAGCTAATTGGGTTTTAGAGAATCTGCAAAAAAACAAAAAAAACAGTTCACTCGATTATTTAAACAAACCGATTTGACAAAAAAAAATCGATAATGTACAAATTAATAATTAAAGAACTAAATTTCTTTGAACTCTATTCCTTGGGGCTATTCCCGTTTATGGTATGTGAATATATAACGTACTTTACATTTATAATCTACTTATATTTATGTAATTTCAAAAAAACAAATTTTGATTTATCTTTTATTTATTCGTTACAGCAATGGAATCTTTCATAGAGATATCAAGCCCGAAAATATTTTAATTAGGGTAAGCAACAAAATATTTATGATACTTTTTGAAATTATGCTCAATATCTAACCATTATCTAATATACTCATTTATTGTTAATTTTTATTTATTTCGTATTTTGTTTGTCAGACATTTGTAGCATTAATGTATTTTGGAACTTGGATAGAAAGATTGTAAGTTCCTACCACTATTGAAGCGAAAAACCTTCAACTACTCGACTTTATTGTTATTTCGGTAAAATTCTGAAGGACTGTTATCTTAATATCATAGCAATGGTTACTTTCTCTGCAGGACTGTTATATTAATATCATAGTAAAGGTTACTTTCTCTGCAGGACTGTTATCTTAATATCAGAGTAATAGTTACTTTCTTTGCAGGACTGTTATCTTAATATCATAGTAAAGGTTACTTTCTCTGCAGGACTGTTATCTTAATATCAGAGTAATGGTTACTTTCTCGAGTCCTGCAGAGAAAGTGACCATTACTATGATATTAAGATAACAGTCCTGCAGAGAGTGTAACCATTACTATGATATTAAGATAACAGTCCTGCAGAGAAAGTAACCTTTACTATGATATTAAGATAAGAGTCCTGCAGAGAAAGTGACCATTACTATGATATTAAGATAACAGTCCTGCAGAGAAAGTGACCATTACTATGATATTAAGATAACAGTCATGCATTATCTTAATAAGAGTAATGTTTGCTTTTTGCTTATCTTACAGGACAACCTTCTCAAGTTGGCCGACTTCGGTAGCTGTCGCTCTATGTACACTTCTCCTCCGTACACAGAGTATATAGCTACAAGGTGGTGAGTCTAAGCACATAACCACAAGGTGGTGAGTCAGAGCACATAACTACAAGGTGGTAAGTCACAGTACATATCTTCAAGGTGGTGAGTCAGAGCAAATAACCACAAAGTGGTGAGTCAGAGCACATAACCACAAGGTGGTGAGTCAGAGCAGATAACTGCAATGTGGTGAGTCAGAGCACATAACCACAAGGTGGTGAGTCAGAGCACATAGCCACAAGGTGGTGAGTCAGAGCAGATAACTGCAAGGTGGTGAGTCAGAGCACATAACCACAAGGTGGTGAGTCAGAGCACATAACCACAAGGTGGTGAGTCAGAGCACATAGCTACAAGGTGGTAAGTCACATATTCTTAAGGTATTGGAAAGTTCATACCGTAGAACGTATCCTTATGAAACCTACAAACAATTTCTTGTTATTTTAAATGTACAATAGAAATATGCTCATCAGTATAATTATAATGTTTGTTTTCCATAAAAAAGTAATCGTGAAGTAATCGAAGACCTCCTGTGCACACTCGTTGTATCATACAATATACATATATTGCAGTTTTTATGTTCGTGTCACACCCGAATATTCACTCATTGTGTTTCCAACACACCCAAGTATGTCACTTGTATCATACCACACCCAAATATAGCACTCGTTATGTCATAACCCACCCAAGTACGTTGTATCATAACACACTTAAATACTTAAATTCAGCGCTTGTTGTGTCACAGCACCCAAATATAGCACTCGTTGTATCATAACACACCCTAATGTAGCACTTTTTATATTATAATACACCCAATTATATCATTCGTTGATCATAACACACCCAAACATGTCACTCGTTGTATGATAACACACTCAAATATTAGGTGTGTAAGTCACAACATGTCACTCGTTGTGTGATAACACACTCAAATATTAGTTGCGTAAGTATATAGTGAAACGTTACAAAAGTTGTTTCTGACGAAACCGAAAGTTTGATAAAATTTTAGAATGTGTTCCTGTGTCTCTTGGAAAAGGCAGGACTTTCATCGAAATATTAGATCAGTAAGTATCTATTATTAAAAGGCAGGACTTTCATCGAAATACTAGGTCAGTAAATATCTATTATTAAAAAGCAGGAATTTCATCGAAATATTAGATCAGTAAGTATCTATTATTAAAAGGCAGGACTTTCATCGAAATATTAGATCAGTAAGTATATATTATTAAAAGGCAGGAATTTCATCGAAATATTAGATCAGTAAGTATCTATTATTAAAAAACAGGAATTTCATCGAAATATTAGATCAGTAAGTATCTGTTATTAAAAACAGGAATTTCATCGAAATATTAGATCAGTAAGTATCTATTATTAAAAAACAGGAATTTCATCGAAATATTAGATCAGTAAGTATCTATTATTAAAAAACAGGAATTTCATCGAAATATTAGATCAGTAAGTATCTGTTATTATGCTTGTTACCAGAAAACCTAGCTCGACTGGGATTAAACCTGTTCTCGGAGGAATTTACCGATAACGATTTTATTTGAAATACTTAAGTCAAAAGCTAACTTCCCCAAAACTCGTATGTTTGTCAGCGGACTTACAACGCTAGAAACCGGGTCTCGATATCCGTTGTGGGCAGAGTACAGATAACCCATTGTGCTTATCTTCAAACAAACAAATTTACTTTATTTCTAAAACAAATCACCAAACGATGAACTTTGAATTTACACGAAAAATATATAATTTACATCGATACACAAAATCTTATATAAGCTAGTGAAACGTCTAGTTTGAGAAAGTACAAGAAATTTTGGCAAAAGTCAGGTATGTAGTATATTAAACGACGAAGTTTACAGGTCGATAACTCTTTACAGGTACCGCCCACCTGAATGTCTGCTGACCAACGGCTACTACACTTACAAAATGGACATCTGGGCAGCAGGATGCGTGTTTTTTGAAGCATTAACGTAAGAAAATACACAGAAATAGCAAAGTTAATTTAGATTTGTTAATTAACCGTATATTCCGGAAAGTCTAAAACTTAGTTACTTGTAGCAGAATATCTTCTATACGTCTGGTATACTTACATAAAAACTTGTTGTAGAAGGTCTTCTATACGTCTGGTATACTTACATAATAACTTGTTGTAGAATGTCTTCTATACGTCTGGTATACTTGCATAATAACTTGTTGTAGAATGTTTTCTGTACGTCTGGTATATTTATTTAATAAGCTGTTGTAAAATGTCTTCTGTACATCTGGTATATTTACCTAATAACATGTTGTAGAATGTCTTCTATTCGTCTGGTATACTTACCTAATAACATGTTGTAGAATGTCTTCTGTACGTCTGGTATACTTACCTAAGAACTTATGAAATGTATTGTGTACGTCTGGTATACTTACCTATTTACTTGTTATAGAATGTCTTCTGTACGTCTAGTATTCTTACCTAATAACTTGTTGTAGAATATATTCTGTACGTCTGGTATACTTACCTAATAACTTGTTGTAGAATGTCTTCTGTACGTCTGGTATACTTATTTAATAACTTGTTGCAAAAGGTATTCTGTACGTCTGGTATACTTACCTAATAACTTGTTGTAGAATGTCTTCTATACGTCTGGTATACTTAGTTAATAAGTTGTTATAGAATGTATTCTGTACGTCTGGTATACTTACATTATAACTTGTTGTTGAATGTCTTTTGTACGTCAGGTATAATTAGTGACTTGTTTTATAATGTCGTCTGTACGTCTGGTATTTTACCTACTAACTTGTGAGAGATTTTCTTCTGTACGTCTGGTATACTTACATTGTAAAATGTTGTAGAATGTCTTATATACGTCTGGTATACTCACCTAATAACTTATTGTAGAATGTCTTTTATACGTCTGGAATACTTATCTAATAACCTGTTGTAGTATGTCTTCTTTACGTCTGGTATACTTACATTGTAAAATGTTGTAGAATGTCTTATATACGTCTGGTATACTCATCTAATAACTTATTGTAGAATGTCTTTTATACGTCTGGAATACTTACCTAATAACCTATTGTAGCATGTCTTCTGTTCGTCTGGTATACTTACCAAATAACATGTTGTAGAATGTCTTCTGTTGGTCTGGTATACTTAACTAATAATTTCTTGTAGAATGCCTTCTATACGTCTGGTATACTTGCCTAATTCATTGTTGTAGAATGTATCCTATACGTCTGGTATACTTACCTAATAACTTGTTGTAGAATGTCTTGTGTACGTCTGGTATACTTACCTGATAACATGTTGTGAAATGTATTCTATACGTCTGGTATACTTAGTTAATAACTTATTGTAGAATGTCTTCTACACGAGTTGTGTACTTATTTAATAAGTTCTTGTAGAATGTCTTCGATACGTGTGGTATACTTACCGAATAACATGTTGTAGAATGTCTTCTATACGTCTGGTATACTTACCTAATAAGCTTTTGTAGTATGTCTTGTGTACGTTTTGTATACTTACCTAATAACTTGTTCTAAAATGTCTTTTGTATGTCTGGTATACTTACCTAATAACTTGTTGTAGAATGTATTATGTACGTCTGGTATACTTACCTTATAACTTGTTGTTGAATGTCTTCTGTACGTCTGATATAACTAATGACTTGTTTTAAAATGTCTTCTGGACGTCTGGTATTTTACATAATAATTTATTGTAGAATGTCTTATGTACGTCTGGTATACTTACCTAATACCTTGTTGTAGAATGTCTTCTGTACATCTAGTATACTTACCTAATAACTTGTTGTAGAATGTCTTCTATACGTCTGTCATACTTATATAATAACTTTTGTAAAATGTCTTCTGTACGTCTGGTATACTTAACTAATGACTTATTTAATAATTTATTTTCTACTTTGTGTCTACCGTACTCAGCTCTTCTACTTAGTGTTTAGTGTCTACCGTACTCAGTTCTTCTACTTATTGTTTAGTGTACATCGTACTCAGCTCTTGTATTTAGTGTTTAGTGTGTACCGTACTCAGCTCTTCTACTTAGTGTTTAGTGTCTACCGTACTCAGTTCTTCTACTTATTGTTTAGTGTATATCGTACTCAGCTCTTGTATTTAGTGTTTAGTGTGTACCGTACTCAGCTCTTCTACTTAGTGTTTAGTGTCTACCGTACTCAGCTCTGCTACTTAGTGTTTAGTGTCTACCGTACTCAGCTCTTCTAATTAGTGTTTAGTGTCTACCATACTCATTTCTTCTACTTATTGTTTAGTGTATATCGTACTCAGCTCTTCTACTTAGTGTTTAGTGTATATGTACTCAGCTCTTCTAATTAGTGTTTAGTGTCTACCGTAATCAGCTCTTCTAATTAGTGTTTAGTGTGTACCGTACTCAGCTCTTCTACTTAGTGTTTAGTGTCTACCGTAATCAGCTCTTCTAATTAGTGTTTACTGTACTTACAGGTTTATTTACCAGCTATTTCTTGTATTTCTCTATTTTTTGAGCTTGTGAAACATTTTATTATATTGATAAGATTCTGCTAGAGTTCATACTGCAATCAAATTCTTTGTTCTTTCTAACAAAGCAAATATAACAAAAATGATTTGGATATTGTGGTAAGACATTTAAACACAGAGAATATGAACACGTAAATGAGATATAAACGCGGGTTAATTTGTTTTTGTAGGAATCAACCTTTATTTCCTGGAAGTAGTGAAATGGACCAAATAGCCAAAATACATTACGTGATTGGAACTCCTCGACCTTGTGTTTTGGCTAAATTAAGAAAACGGTATGTTTTGGGTTGCTTGTAGAATAAAGGCATTAATGTATAACGGAAAAATAAAAGTTTTTGTAAGTTATTCGTAGTTTGTATTTGTACTTTAAACTAAAGAAGAAAGATTATTGGATAGCTTAACTCGTGTTTGTACTTGGGGATATAGGAAGTTTCAGTTTTGTTTAAATACGGGGAGACAGAAGG